AATTTGGAAAAGTCATTTTGCTCTGCTCATCCCAGTGTCAAGATATCCGTTGCACAAAATGAAGACTTTGTATCAGCTCACCTTGGAAGCAGTCCCTAACAAGGGTTTAATGGCCGATACATTTCTCGTGCCTGGTCATCCGATCACCAAAGAACTTAAAGCCCAGCAGTACATCGAAGACAGAAATAAGTATAGAGAACAACACCGCATCAATTTCAGGTTTGTCTACGCAGATTTGTTTTATCCAAGCCTTCTCTTCAAACTCAAACTTTTACCCGAGCGATGTTACGTTTTTAAATCGATTGTGGAAACAAATCCACGATTTACTTTAGTTCATGTTCCGTTTTAGGCCTATTCTGAAATCCCTGTTTTGGATTAGAGATTGCACATGGTTAAGTGTGAAGACCAAATGTTGTATGATTGAACTGTAAAAACGTGTTTTTAAACGCGCTTGTTGATGTTTTATTTTAAAAATTGTTTGAATCAGTTGAAACAGCGAAGATGGGCCATGTATTGTCATAAAACAGAATGGATTCCCGTGAATGCAAAGATTCCTATGTGTTCCCAATGTAAAAGAATTAGGAAAACGCAGTTAACATTAGACGGTTTACGTTTGCAAAGGCAAAAGAAATTTGTTGATAAAAATGAAGAGGCTCGTTTAATTCGCCGTTTTTACTATACGCCAATTCGTAGACACTTAGAATTTATGTACGGTTTGGTTTCTCTTTAGCAAATGTTTGCGACAAATCAAGAAGTGTCATTTTTGTAGATCGGCCCAATGGCTTTCGTTTCAAGAAGGAGTCTGTTCACATTGTCTCAGAATTGGAGTTGATTGTTTGACTGTGACGGGTCAAATGAGATATGACCGTTACAAAAGAGTTAATTTTGAAATGGAACGGCACAAAATCTTTAAGCTATATAGGGGTACAGGAATTTTAAGAAGACGTCAGGCACTTGAACACAGAGTAATCCAATCTTTGGGTCTTTTTTAGAAAAGTGATGCAAGATATCCGTTTTTCGCCGCTAAATCCTTTTACAGAGTGGATCGAAATCAATAGGCAGACCACTGATTTTCGTATTACAATTTTAAATGTAACGATCGATGATGTAAAGCTTGTGGACAATCCTTTTTTTCCTGCTATTGAAACAATGATTGAACGTTTTGAGCGAACCTACACACACTTAAAGTTAGAATTTCCCTGGTTCTTTCAAGATTATCAAGTTAACTTTGTTGGACCAGATTCAATAGGGATCTGATATGTTCCAGTTTGTAAATAAGAAAAAAGTGCTTTGAAAAGGACTTAGCCGACTTGCGGTTGAATACGTTCCTCTCATTGCATTTACTAAGAAAGTTATTGTACCGTTTTACTGAAGGCAGGTAAAATGTAATAAAGTTAAGTTTGTGTGTAATTTACTTGTGTCTTTGGGAAAAAGAAAATGAACTGAGATTGTCAAATGAACGCTCAGGCTGGCGAGGGATTTTCTTAAAACTAAATGAACTGAGATTGTCAAATGAACGCTCAGGGAAAAAAGAACAAAGAGTAAAGCTGACTCAGCCAAAAATGAATTAGAAAAACGAACAAAGAATTATTATAGAAGGGCTCAGTTAATTAGAAAAAGAACAAAGAGTATAGCTGACTAAGTTAAAATAGGTCATTAGGTAATCTTGGGCAACCTTGAACGTTTTTTGTTTAGGATAACTTAATGACATTCGAAGCACGTACTCCACAGCTAATTTAACTCATTCGCGTCTCTGAAAGCGTCATTCAGTTTTTACTGTCTTACTAAGCGGAGTTTATCTATTTATCTATCTGTTTATGAACGATGGGCTCGATTCTTTGTTGGAAGAAATACCTGACTGGACGGCTAGTCAAGGGGAAGAATTAATGGACTCCGAGGATGAAAGCGATCTGCTAATCGCGGCGCGCCGAGCAGACCAGCAAGGAGGGAATCCCTTGTTTGCTGTCAACATGGAGCAAGTGAGAGCACCGCGCTCTTTTCCCCGTGGTGTAGCAATTCAAATGCAAGTCCGATTTTCTCTGCAAGAGTTACCTCCACTGAATGGGGAATACCAAGGTGAAGCGGTAGCGGAAGCCTTCCACCAGGTTTGATTAATTTTATCCGCGATCCTCGCAATGGTATTGTCAGTCCTCACGATTATTCCATGTCCATGGCTATTCAACACAGTACAGGGACACATACATGGACCAGCTGTCCGAGGGTTCCACTTAGTGAGTGGATTCAGGGATCGCCACTTACACGACAATGGCTAGAAAGACTGGCTAAACAGCTCAACTCAGCGGAAAGTTTTGATGCCGCGAGCGGTGATTTTTACGCCGAACTGACTTTTTTTAAGACGCAGCAACGTGGTGGAAGACCAGCAAAAAACAAGCCTGGCAACAAGTCCTTTGAGCAGTTACTCAAAAAGAGATCTGTGATCACTATTAAGAACAAAGATGAACTGTTTCGCCCGTGCCTTGGTTTCCGCCAAAGCCTTTGTGGACCAAGACCCTCAGTATGAAAATATTTCTCAAGGACGAGGACTGCAGGGTCATCTTGCCTACAAACTGCATCAAGAAACTGGGGTTCCTTAGGGAATGTGCAGGTTGCCCGAAATACAGCGAATGCAGGCCCATCTTGGTCCTCAAGGGTACCAGATTAAAATCTATGAAAGAGTCTGTGGGGCGCTATGGTATTGTGACCCATCGTTTGATTCTGCGCCTAAAAAACTGTGCCTGCTAAAAGTGGAACAACATTTTCACGGATTATGAGGTGTGCCAGGCCTCTTAAACAAGACCTATTACTGTCACCAATGTAACAAAGGTTACAATCAGGAAGATGCAAAGCATCATAATTGTTCTCGTCAAAACTGTGACATGTGTCAAAGAAAAAACGGTGAATGCCCTAATTATCAAGAAAGAAAGCCTGCCCATGTCTACTGCAATGATTGTGGTCGGTCCTTTTACGGTCCAAACTGTTTTACCGCTCACAAAGAACCTAAAGGACAGAAAAAAGTGAGTCTGTGCCAAAAACTCAAAAAGTGCCCGGAGTGTGGTAAAGTGTACAAGTATTCGAAGAAAAAGAAGCATGTGTGCGGAGAATATCGTTGCCCCAACTGCCGAGAAAAAGTATTGCCAAAGCACCAGTGTTACATTCAACCCCTTGGCCAAGCAGACGAAATTAGCGAGGATCTCGAAGATCTGGCCGTGCATTGACTTTGAATGTGGGTTGGATGAAAATAATGATTTTGAGGATGTTCGTGTGGGGTGGCAATGGTAGCTACCGCGAAGCAGGAAAGGCATCGGATATGTTGGAGGATGTAATGGCGAAAACGGTGACCGCAGAAATGAAAGAACGGAAGGTGTTTGTGTTCGCTCACAATATGCGAGGGTTTGATTCGTCGTTTATTTTGCAATTGTTGTATGATAAGGGCTACAAAGTGGAAAAGGTCTTGAGTATGGGGGCGAAATTTTTGTCGTTTCAGTGCGGTAATGTCATTTTTCGGGATTTCCTTAATTTTTTTAACATGCCTTTGGAACGGTTGCCGGCAACGTTTAATTTGAAGGAAGCGCATAAGGGTTTCTTTCCTTATTGTTACATTTCTGAAGACAAGATCAGTTACATTGGTGTGTACCCAAAAGCGGAAGAATACCATCCTGAACGTATGAACGAAAAATGAAGAAAGGAAATAATCGCTTGGCACAAAGAAAAAGTGGACAGTGGGGCCATCTTTGATTGTCAAAAAGAACTATCTGCGTACCTGAAAAGCGATGTCAAAGTGCTAACGGAATCGATGGAAACATTTGCCAGCAAAATGTTAGAGTTGACAGGCATAGACCCTACTGTGGAATGCATGACCATTGCGAGTACGGCATTTAAAGTACTCCAGACAAAGTTTTTGGAACCGTACACGATTGCCTTGGAACCCCTTGGCGGATGGCGCCACAATCAACAAAACCAGAGTGTGGAGGCCCTGCAGTGGCTGGAATTTGAAAATGCCAAGATTGGCGGCGGTATTCAGGTAACTACTAAGAATTTTAGTTGCATGGAAAGTCTGCACATTTTAAATGGAACTTGCAATGTTTTACTGCAAATTTCAATTCGTGAATTGTTTACTACTGTGCGATGGTCAATGCACACTACAAATCAAAAATTAGAAGGAAATGTATGGGAAATATGTATAAAAAGTCTGCTTTTTTAATCTTACATTGCAGTGTTTTACTGCATTTTTCAATTGGCGAAATGTTTTATACCGTGCAATGGTCCATGCACGATCAAAAATCAAAAATTATAATCTGCGGACCGCCAAAGAAACTATAACATTATTTTTCTCTTTTGCAGCATGTACGAAATTCATTGAATGGGGAAGCAAAAGTCATCACCCCAGCCCAGTCTTACAACATGGATGGCTATCACGCCGCCAGCAATACTGTGTACGAGTACCACGGGTGCATTTTTCACGTATGCCGTAAATGTTATCCAAAGCAAGGAAACATGAAGCGTTTCTGCCATCCCGATCGAACCGTGAGCGAAGTGTATGAGGCAACCCTAAAGAAAACGGCCATCCTCCGTGACGCAGGGTACACCGTCATTGAAATGTGGGGGTGCGACTTCGCCAAACAGAAAGAAACCAATCCTGAGCTCGCAGAATTCCTGGAAAAGTTTGAATTTGTGCCACCGCTTGAACCGCGAGACGCGTTCTTTGGGGTCGAACTGGCCTACGACCCTGTACGCCAAAACAGCAGAAGAGGAAGAGATCAGCTATGTTGATTTTACTTCTTTGTACCCCTCCATTAACAAATATGGAACTTATCCTGTGGGATTCCCGCAGATTATCTATCGGCCAGAAAACCAGAACATTGGCGATTACTTTAGTCTCGCGCAAGTGGATATCCTGGCTCCTGAACGCTTGTTCCACCCCGTTCTGCCTGTCAGGGCGGGTGGAAAACTTACTTTTCCTCTTTCCAGGTCCTGTGTTGAAGAAGAGATAGCCAACCCCTTGCTAGAGCGAAGCAATATGTGTGGTCACACTCGCGAGCAGCGCATGCTGAAAGGTACTTCGTGTACTCCTGAGTTGCTGAAAGCAGTGGAGAAGGGATACGAAATCCTGAAAATACATGGAGTCTGGCACTTCCCCAAAGAAAATAGACGCGAAGGCCTTTTCGCAGGGTACGTCAATACCTGTTTGAAGCTTAAACAAGAGAGCGCCGGATGGCCTGCGGACATAGAAACCGAAGAGCAGAAAGCCGCCTATCTACGAGACTACAAGCAGCACAAAGGCATTGATCTGCATCCTGAAAAGATTGCGGTCAATCCCGGCCGAAAAAGCATTGCTAAATTACTTTTAAACAGGTAACTAGTTGCAGTCTTTTTCACACTTAAGAATTTTAGTTGCAGTGAAAGTCTGCACATTTTAAATTGAACTTGCATTGTTTTACTGCCAACTTCAATTCGTGAATTGTTTACTACTGTGCAATGGTCAATGCACACTACAAATCAAAAATGAGAAGGAAATGTATGGGAAATATGTATAAAAAGTCTGCTTTTTTCAAACTTACAATGCAGTGTTTTACTGCAAATTTCAGTTGGCGAAATGTTTTTTATTGTGCAATGGTCCATGCACGATCGAAAATCAAACATTATAATCTACGGACTGCCCAGGAAACAATAACAAACTTATAATTTTCTTTCTTTTTTCAGTTTATGGGGCAAATTTGGTGAACGACAGAACAAGCCTGTTACTCACTGTATTACCCAACCCTCGCAACTGTTCCAGCTGTTAGAAGACCCTGCAAATGAGATCCACAGTGTGCGGACTTGCTCGGAAGACGTCATGGAGCTGGTCGTCTCCAAAGCCGAACACGAATTTCAGCGCTCCTTCAAACAAAACGTGTTCATCGCAGCGTTCACTACTTCACTGGCGCATCTTAAATTATATGAAGCCCTTGATTTTTTAGGTGATCGAGTGTTGTATTACGATACAGACTCGGTCATTTATAAAACCAAGCAGGGTCAAGAAAAACTGCCGCTGGGGCTGTATTTGGGACAATTTACAGACGAACTTGACGACGACAGCAAGACTCAAGTCTCTTCATGAACAAACCACTGCTATGACACATGATGAACTCATGTTGTTCCTTCTTAGAGAAATCTATGATCCTGCTGTACATCTTACTAACCAGGAGTACAGGCAAAAGAGTAATGGAGAAGCCATACATGTTCCGTCTGCTATAGAAGCTCCACCTGTGGCGGATCTAGGGGTGGTTCGGGTGGTTCGGTCGAACCCCCTAAACTGAACGTGATGTGAAAACGTATAACAAACACGTGGTTAAAAAAAAGTGAACCAACTCAGCTAATAAAATAAAATATATATTTTGAAAATAATATTTCTTTGTGTCTTTGTACGCGAAAACAGCAATAAAAACAAGACAAATTTGTGCCTAGTTGAAAATGGCCTCTAGTACGTCCGCTTGAGCTATAAAACTACTGCTTATTAACGCTTACACGTCCCGCCAAAACTGACAGTTTATGCCAAATCTGCCAATCATTCCAATTCCGGCATTGCGTAAAGCCCACGCCGTTCTTTGGAAATCAGAGTTGTGGATCGTTCTCTCAGTGAGTCAAAGATTGCGGGAGTGTTTTGAAGAGAAAACTGACTTAAACGTTCCTCGGCGTCAACTCACGACTTAATATGTCGAAGAGGACAAAGCAACCACTAATTCACCGGTTTTTCGGACCGTCATCAGCAAGGTAAGCATTAATAGATTAGTGTATTACACGAGTACGCTTAATTCTAGCAAGCAGACAGTGGTGATTTTCGAGAGTTGCTTCATGAATCGATTTAAAACTGAAATATCATAAGTTTACATTCTAAATATTCTTCTCTAGATCGGAGACCAGCGAAGATAATGAGTCTTTTGACCAATCATCTAATTCTTCCAGCAGTTTGAATGAGAGCTCGAGTAGTGCAAAGAGGATTTGTTGCTCTAGCGATGCCGGTAAGAACATTTTCCATAACAAAAAATACTACAAGCTATCAATTTGGCACTTGTCAACACTTTTTTATTTTGTGTTTACAGAGACCGAAAAAGTGACCCAAACCGGTAGAGGCAGTGAAGATTTGCCAGTGACCGTCGCTCGACAAAATGAGACAACTCTATCTTCTTCAAAGCAAGGTATTTCATTTTTGAAATTAGTGATATAAATCAGAAAGCTTAAGCTTCTATATGACATAAAAATGGAAAACGTCATTGCCATCATCAAAGCTCGGACACAATGTTAGGTGCAAAGCAGTGCTTCAGTTGTTAACTTCACTGACTCATGCTTTTTAAAGCAGAATTCTGTTCTCTATGTGACAATCCAGAGTAACCAAGAAAAATTTGTAAACATGCAGGTGTGTCGAGTCACGATCATTATCAGTTTGATGCGGCTTTGTTGGAGACCTTGTCATGGAATGAATAAAATGAACAATGTAAACAAGGTCCATTATTATGTCTGAGTTGGGCTTTTCCAATATTTTCTCAGGTGCTACCATGATGAGTCTTCCTCGCGAAGTCCTTTTGGAAATATCAAAGTGGCTCTCATTGGAAGAACGCATGATATACCTTGCACCAGTCTGCAGATATCTTTATGATGTCATGCATGATTCTAGTCTTTGGAGAACTGTTTATTCAAACGCTGAATTTACGCTTCATTCGTTTAATTCGTTATTTAGACACGATAGGGATTTACGGCATCTAGGCTTTAGACATTCGCAAAGACCTCTAACTTTTATTACTGACCCTTTTTTATTGAACAAAAATTAATGAATTGTTGCAACTTAATATCTTTGGATCTTGCATACAATACGTCGATTTCTTCTTTACACTTTGTGAGACATATGCCTACTTTAAGGGAACTTGATATAACAAGTTGCCAAAATATTACATTAGAAAGTCTAGTAACTTCCCTTTACAAAAAAAGTACACTGGAAATATTAAGAATGCCTAATTGTTTTCAAGTAGGCGGAATTTCCTTAGTGTCTGTAGTAAAATCCTTACCTGACATTAAAATTATCGACGCTGGTGGATGTGAAACAATATCCGAAAATCAAGCTCGAGATATTTTGCAGAATTGCCAACTCTCCGAATTTTCTTTTTCCCCTAACTGGGATCACCCAAATTTGTGGGAACGACTTTTCACTGATTTTAAACATGTCAAGTTGGGTTATTTATCTCTTTAAACTAGAAGTCCACAGAAATATTTTGCAAGTCAAACACCCTGGCTTTCTGTGCAAGGAAAAAGAACATTAGTTGTATTGTAAAAATTGTGCGATTTCTGTTACCTGTCCTGTTCTAAACGTATGTCAAAACGGTATTAAAAGAATTTTAAAAAGGTAGTACAATGGCAATTTGCTTTCATTGCAGCGTCACAGACTGATAAAGATGGAGATGATCCTGTTTGTTATGGTTTGGTTCATGACGTTGATGTTGGTGCTCTTTTTCGTCAGAAAACAGCTTTTAAGTCTCTAAATCAAGCTGAGAAACTGAACATCATAAATAACCATTTTCGACCAGGAGAGAATTATGCTTTCCCTAAAGTGTTTATGAATGGTTGTAATCGGTCTTTCCAAATATCCTGGCAGCAACGTTATCCTTGGCTCGTTTACAGCAAGGAATGTGACGGTGGTTTCTGTCTCCCATGCAATTTATTTGCCATACGCGAAAGCTTAGGTACCTTAGTAACCACTCCGTTCAATCGGTGGACAAAAGTAAGTAAAGTGTGTGGCGAACATGAGAAACATCGTTACCACATCGATGCCATGGTTGCATACGATAATTTTCTCTCGACAAGTCGGAATCCGCGAAAAAACATCCAAGTTCAAATTGAAAGCGAACGCGGGCGCACGATTAACAGAAACAGAGAAATTGTGAAAAGTGTTGCAAAGTGCGTCCATTTTTGCGGCAAACAGTGCATTGCATTGAGAGGCCATAGAGATGACAGCACTGCCGATCAAAATGGAAACAGGGGCAACTTTCTAGCTTTGCTGGAATTACGTGTTGACTCAGGCGATGAAGTTTTAAAGAACCACCTAGCGACCTGCCGCGCGAATGCACGATATTCTAGTAAAACAATACAGAATCAACTCATAATGCTAATCGGAGACCACATAAGGGAGTCGATAATTCAAGAAATCAAAGAAGCAAAGTACTTCTCAATTCTTTGCGATGAAGTCACTGACAATGCTAATCTCGAACAGTTGTCTTTGGTTTTACGGTTTGTCGACAAAGAGTGCATGATCCATGAAGAGTTTGTAGACTTTCGATGCACCGATCGAATAACTGGTCAAGTCATTTCTTCCTTGATCTTGGAGAAGTTGGACCAGTGGGGTCTGGACATTTCAAACTGCCGAGGCCAAGGCTACGATGGTGCTTGAATATGTCTGCACAAGCGAGGGAGTGCAAGGCTTAATAGCACAGAAAAACCCCAAGGCCCTGTATGTGCACTGCAATTCCCATGTACTGAATCTCGTTATAGTAAAAGCATGTAGCTTACCATCAGTTCGCAACATGGCTGGCACTATAACGGAGATTTCACAATTTTTCAATTATTCTCCAAAGCGGCAGAGGTGCTTGGAGAAAGTAATCAGCGCTGATCAGCCGGATTCGCAGAGAACTAAGATCCGTGACCTCTGCCGTACTTTCGTTGGGTTGAACGTCACGAGGCATATGAAACGTTCGGCGCTGTTACTTCCGTCGATTGTTAAAACCTTTGAGGTTATTTTGGACGAACAGCAACACAAACAATACAGTACCGAAACCCCTTGGAACTGGGACAGAGAGACTCTCCAGAAGGCAAATGGCTTCTACCACACATGTTGTTCTTTCCAGTTTCTCATCGCGTTAATAGTCACCATGAAAACTTTGGCAGTCATTAAACCGATTAGCATTAAACTGCAAAAGAAGTCTAATGACATCGTGAAGGCATACTGTATGATATCAGATACCGAGAAAGAGTTGAAGGAAAAGAGAGACGAGGCTGAAGCTGTGTTCAAAAGATGGTACTCTAATGCTGTCGAGCTCAGTTCAGACCTAGGTACCGAGCCCAGCGTTCGAGAACAGCCTCAAGACAGCAGCACCGGGCAAATGCACCCCATGACACTCCTGAGGAATATTACCGTCGCAATCTGTTTGTTCCTTTTCTTGACCATATTACACAAGAGATGTCTTCAAGGTAATATGTTTTTATCAGGTCTTCTTGACATTTTAGCTACGTTGTTTGCAAAATAAGGCGACCTTCAGGACGAAGTTTCCCTTTAAAGTGATCAGATTCCATAGCTGTTCCCTTACTCTTCTCTAGTTATAACAGTCACACTACACAAAGTACAACAGAGTACAAATACGCAAATTCTGATCAGTGGTTATATTTTGAATTGTTCTAGATTTGGTAATACTCAGAAGACTGCTGTGCAGTTACTGGGTCTAGTTCCAAGCATCACCGTGTCACACACAGATGCAAACATTGATGCGGTTTCAGAGATGTACCGCTCAGACCTGCCAAACCCTCAAACTCTGGATGTCGAGTACCATCGATGGACGAGAAAGTGGCAGTCAGAGAGAAGCCAACCAGACGCACTTCAACCTGCATTAGAGGTACAGAACTTAATTTTTTTGTTTTTAATGTTCGCCTTTCAAATTAAACTGAACTATTTCTTTTTTGTTATCTTAGGTCTGTGACGCAGACATTTTCCCCAACATCCACTGTTTGCTGCGCATTGCATGCACTATTCCAGTGACTTCAGCTGACAACGAGCGAGCAAACAGTACCTTAAAGCTGGTTAAAGGCTACCTGCGGACCACCATGACGACAGAAAGATTGTCTGGCTTGGCGCTCATGAATATTCACCACAAGAAACCCGTGGATTATGATGCTGTAGTCCAGAATTTGTAGAACAGCAACCCCGGAGAATGTTGCTGGCTGATCCCATTTTTGAGGAATCATGAATTTTTAATTTGAATGAATTTAAAATGTTTATCCGTCTTGATTATTGTCAGTGTTAAGAAAATCCATCCTTTAAACTACTGTAGTTAGTACAAAAATGGAGGTGACTTTAGAGCAATTAAGCCACTTCAAATTGCCCCTGAAAACGCTGGAAATCGCATTTCAGAGGCCCTAAAATAAAAAATTTTCCGGGGGAGCATGCCCCCGGACCCCCCTAGGGGCTACCGCCTTCGGCGGGCGTTTATCCGAACCCCCCTTCGTCAAATCCTGGATCCGCCCCAGTCCACATCTTTACATGCTGGGTGGCTCAGGTGCGAAAGATGCTGATCAGCTAGCATTTGTGCCAACATGTAGAGAGTACTTGAGCTACAGTCGGACCAGTATATAACTACCACCGTTGAAACTTGAGAAACTGGCCGCTTCATACTCACTGGGCGTGGTCTAATGTCAATTTTAATGGCATATCATACAAATACACTTCATGCAAGGAAACGATAAAACAACACTCTTAAACAAAGTACAGTGCCAACTTGTAACTGAACGGTACATTGTCTAATCTTCTACGGTACACAGTGGTGTATTTCCATGGGGGGTGCGACGGGTGCACTCGCACCAGCCCCTCCTCACACAGGCACCAGAGGTACACTTTTTTACTGATCGGCGATTTAAAACAAAGTGAAGTAGGAGTATTGTTCTATTCTAATACTGATTGTGTAGTAAAATTGAAAATGCTGTAAAAGAGGTCACAAGCCCGACTCAACCTTTCCACAAAACGTCTTTTAGCCTCAATCAGGGTTTAATCAACAAAGCATAGTAAAACTAGTAGAATGAAAATATTAAATCACTTGACAGATTAACACAACCAATACCTAGTGCTTCAACTTAAAAAAAAGACCAGAAAGTGGTAGATGCGGTATATGCATCAAAGAGGGAGAACAAGGCTGTGTCTACATTCTCTGATTATATAACAAGTGGATTGCAGAAATTTACGTCAAAGCAGGCTTGCTTGAGAAAGTCCCTCAAGTTGACAATCCTCCAGTACAGTGCACGTTTTTCTGGCATACCCAAACCTGATGCACATGGAGATCACATGATCCTATGCACGAAATAAAGATTATATTTGTAGGGGATCAGTCAACTAGAGTGAGGTTTGTTGGGGCAAAGATTTGTTGCCAGGGTTACATACTACATCCGGCCATTTTGAGCACAGCTCACCTTTCAAACCAGTCATGTGGCACAAAAATCTTACTGCTCCAGTATTTGCATTCATCTCAAAAATACAGAAGAATCAGTCCTCGGGAGTTTGCATCCTTTGACAAACCCTACAAAGCGGAAGAGATGACGATTGGCAACATCAAAAGTGCTTGCGAGAGACATTTCACATTAGAAGTAATCTCGCCTAACCAAATGTAATATTTCTGTTTGACTCTCTAGTGCATTGCTCTATAACAGGTAACTGGTAATTTCGCCCCAAAGTCATTTCACCCTGGGTACTTAGCCTCCTATTTTTGAGTCATTTAGCACACTTCAGAGGTAACATTCCCCATTCTTTAAATAGGCGGCTAAGTAACCGGGGCGAGATGACCAGTAACCTCGATACCCCAACAGTTTTGCTGGGCCCTCCGATTCCTTTTTTACAGCCACTTCAACATCTTCAACCAAAAAAGTGTTATCTTGTCTTTGCTATAAACTCGGAAATGGCACAAACGTCTGTTGAGAGTTTGAAGATGATCTTCCTTCCACGATGAAAACCTGTTAGCCACCATCTTCGAACTTCTTCCAAAGAAAGTGTTGTAAACACAACACAAAGTCTCCATGATGTACGCAATGCATGCTGGTAGTGGCAGTGCTCGGCTGGGTCGAATTTTTTTTTTAAATTTTATTTCACTTTTGATTTCATTTCATTTAACTTTTGTTTCGATTCGTTTTATTTTGATTCTACTTTCACTTTTCTGTTAAATTAATAAAAATTAAAAAGAAAGTGGAAAATAATTACACATAAAAATATAAAATAATCATACATAAAGAAAGAATTCCTTCAAAATGCGGATTTTTCAATTGGCAGTTCTTGGCCACCATACATATCTCCTTTAGTGTGAGATTTGGTCCTTAACCATCTATCCAGTGGTCGTTCTCTTTCCAATGCACCATCATCTTCTTACACATAGAATGGTTCGCACACCACATTTGATGCTTGTCACAGATACTTAGGTAACAATATTTGATAGTACCATTCTTTCCCCAGTATCTGCACTTTTCTGCATTTTCCATTACATCCCACTGAGCATAGTGTCTGTCATACAGACAGATAAAGAGTTCTGTGGGGGATTTGTAGCAACAATTTTGAGAACGGTTTGGGTCTCTCCTCAGTTTCTAGGCCATCTCTCTTCGAAATTTCTGTGGCTTTTACAGTATACCTCCTTAGCAAATGGTAGGAGATCTTCAAAATCCGAGATTGATCCTTTCATTTGGTCCACAAAATTGAAAGCCTTAAGTGTGGCAATGGTTATTTCAATGTTCACAGGGTTAGTTTCCGTATCATCAGATGATTCAGACTCATTTATGTTGAGGAACATGGTCTGCGACTTGTAAGATTTTGAAGTACAAATTCATATTGAATTGACAACCAATGATGGCCAGTCACCATTATGTCTTTATTATACGATATACGATAGTTCCAAGTGATTAAAGCAAGCGTTCATCATAGAAACTTGCACACGCAAGCTAACAGCGAATGAAGCACGAGAGAGATTTAGGCAAGTTAGAAAGTTTTAGGAAGTCACTTAGCAGCAGTTTAGGAAGTCCGCAAAAGCATGCTAGGGAGCTAGAGTTCGTGAGGGAAAATGGTCTGCAGCAGGTACCCCGAATAAGGGATTTGCTGACTGACAAAGGCCAGAACAAGTACACAATGAGATAAATGAGTGGCAGCACCTTCTCAACTTACTATATAAAGAATCCCTCATGAGGAACATCGCAGAGACATCTCTTGAGGTTTTGAGTGCACCAATGACAACTGCAAATGAAGACAAGAAAAAATCAAGTGAAGCAAGTATTTCCCAACCTGAGGGTGCAGGTGAGAGAGTCTGGCAGCATGACCTCCCAACTAAGTGCTGGTCAGTTTTTAAAATATGTTAATGACATTGTAGAAGCTCCTGTTGGGGTGGAGCAACATCTATTGGGCTGTGGCTTACCTTTTGTAGCTAGTCTTAAAGGAACACTATAAAGACAAAGACAAGACTTTCCACAACCTGACTATTCGCCTTATAGGGGAGAAGGCCATAGTTCTTGCTCGATATTCCTATAGATTTCTTGATGCCCTTATAATTCCAAACGAGACACTTGCACAAAAAAAAATTAAACAACTAGCACTTGGAAAGGTTGCACATTATTTAAGGTGTTACTTGCACATTATTTAACAAACTAGACACCAATACTTCAGAGATAAGCAATTTAAGTAAAGTATGTAAAATGTATTTCAATTTGCTGGAAATGCTCTTTGAACAATCTGTCAATGTCACTGTATGGACTGTTGGAAATGCAAATTCCCTATCATTCCACTTTACATTCACCCAGTATAAAGAAGGTTATGGCATTATTTCCTTACAGGCCAGAAAATCAAAACATTCTGGAATTAAATCTGACCTTGGACTCACCAATTAATACAAGTCCACAGTTGGCAGATGGCAGGTGGTAAATGGTGGCAGGTGATGGGGTAAACTATGTAAAGTCATTCTATCTCCCAGAGCATCAGCCAATGCCCTCATACATACATTCATGTATACCATTTCATGGAACATTTTAGCCAGGGCCAAACCATACAACAGCGCCAACAAAAGATCTAACTTCTGCCTGTTGGAGAAATTCATTATAATCCGTCAACCAGAACGTTCCATGCTGAGCAAACGAAACGAATCCGTGTCCTCATGCCAACACAGAAGCAAAGTGCTATTACATTACAACCAGCAATACCCTAGGGGCAATACCCTAGGGACTACTTTACTTATATTTAGTATATACTAAAACAGTGGATAGTGTTTTTCGCGCGCTCTGATTGGCTACTCAATCAGTGAATATCCTGCACTATTCACTGATTCACCTCCAGTTCCTACGAGCGAGCGACGCCAAACTTGCGTAGGTTGCAAGCAAAATGCTTTCCCGGTTTGCTGCCATAACAAACTAAGAAATTTCACAACTAATCAAGCAAGCTATTTCCGAAATACATCAAGAAGGTGACCAAGTTCAGTTTGGAAGTTTTGACAGTTAAAGCTTTGTCTTTTTGACTCGAATAGTTATCGATAAAACCGGTGAAAAAGTTTTTTGCTTACAAATGCAAATAAAATTTTTATTTGTCGATAACAAAAAGCGACGACCGCAGTCGTTTGGTCATCGCGCGCCAAAATTGTAATCGTTGGCAACAGTATCCCCTACTCAAACCACTGTTAATTCGTTAAATTGTATATTCTCAACATTCAACACAAACAGTTTAAATTAGAAAATTTATATCTTTATACCGCTAAATACGAAGCAGACATAATTACTTCTGATAAAAATATCTGTCATATCTATTCATCATGTAAGTGAATCCATAAACTGCCTTTTTAAACAAAATTGCGGTTATTATTTCTAACAACCCAAAATTTGTTGTAAATATCACTGTTATGTATTATTTATGAATGGGTGAGATTTATGGTAGCACCTCAACTCCCTCCACTTCCTCAAAATACATGAAAATGAAGTGGAATCATCAAGATTTACCTAGCAAAGGAAATTGCCAAGCATCTTTAAGAATGGAGTAATTAATAAAAGATAATAAGACAACAACTTATACTTCTTTCTTCTACAGACTTATTAGCAGTTGTCAATTATTAATCCTGCACATGCTAATAAAAAGTCAGTTTGTCTTCAAATTTTTCTGTCTTGAGCTTACTAATCTTTGTCTTTATTATATAGCCTGCCCGCCACCTTGACTATTCCCCGCCCTCTATTTTGGATGTTTACCCTTGTTGACATGGGACACGATAAATGTTTGGGGGAGTTTTGCATTACACAGCAAGATTTGGAGACTCCTTTAGAAGCAATGCAGTTACCGCCAAGCTCTCACTGTCAGCGATGGGCAAAATATGATGATATGGAGAGGTAGTGCATGCTTCCAAGCCTGTTCCAGTGCTTAGTATGGTAACTAACACATATATGACACCATGAACATCTGCCTACTCAGTGGAACCCAGATTTGGTAAGAGGTCAAGAACTCAAACAGGATGCACAGGCCATTTCAGCAAAAGGATTACCACTCCAAAATAGCATTGGTAGTAACCAAAATGGCAGATAGTTCAGAAGTGATTACAAGTGAAGTATGTATGACACAATACCTGAACATTCTCCTTATGCACAGTTGCACACAATGTTCAGGTTCAGCACTGCATCTTGATTTCCTTTGTCTTTCAGCTTTAATCAGTTTTGAAATAGATATATTTCTAGCTTTTCTGCATGTTGAAAACGATTCCTCACGTTTTTCTCCCACAAGTGTGTTACCCTACTCCTCACGGCTTTGAGAGTCAATGCAGGCAAATTCGCAGCCCATTCCAACACCCTCCACAAGTTCCGCCCGAGTCCTGAAAAGATGGGAGGATGAACACATCTGTAATTAAATGAGGCCGCCTGATTTTGGTGATGAACCATCTTGCAAGGTACTTTAAGGTAGGTTATTGTTGACGGTCCATCAATCGTCTCTACCCACGCATTGTTTTTACAAATTACTGGCACTGCAGCATAAGAGAAAAAATGACTGCAAACCATCAACTGCTTTATTGTTGGAAGGTTCCACCAACGGCTAGGGTTATCCCTATCAACTTTACTATGCATCAGAACCCTTACTGATGTTTCGATTAAATGGCTTTTCAACATATTCTAATTTAAACACATACCTGAAAGGGGAAAGAGTGAAGCGGTTTTGAGAAAAGGGATTCATTAAAACTCCTGAAGAAACAGAAAACAACATCACTCAAAGCACTTGCAGCTGATATTTCAGAAGGCTTGCGGAAGGTTAAGACAAGCAACTCTAAAGCTGATAAAGCTGCCTATTCAGCTTTCAAAAGTCTTACATTTGGCCACAATGTTTCTACATGCTAAGCATGAAAGTCTCTTGTAAAGCTAGTAAATGTGGGGCATAAGAGCGTGAGTTAACAAATTAAAAAGAGGGCAAAAATTTTTTCACAAGAGAAAAAGAGAGGAAAAATAGAGGTGACTCTACTAATACTGAACAGAACAATTCATTTTCAACCAACTTCTGGTCATATGAAGGAAGTAGGCCAACAGGAGACAAAAAAGATGTAATCAAAAAAAGAACCGAAAAGAAGCAGCACATTGAACATGCGAAGCACGTGCTGGAAAAAATACAGAGGCATTTGTAAAGTTCCAGGCACAATATCAGGAAGCAAAGACCAAGTACTGCAAATTTGAGGAAAATTTCCAGTCTTTAAGGACTGTAAGAAATTTAGAAAGGCAGTGTCCCGGAGGTATGGAACCGATTTAGTGCTTCCTCAAACCCTAACTGAAGCAGTCAACCTTAAGCTTTGGTGACAAGCCTCAAGGGCACAGCTATCACAAGCTGAAATGCTTAAACAGAGAATGCAGTGAAGGTGGTGAAAACAAAATTGAACTCCCTCTCATGAAATTTCAGACGAATATACAGAGGAAGTGACAAGGAAGTGCTATGAATATGTGGGGAATGGAAAATTTCTGCCAAAAGACAGAAAAATAAAAAACCACTCAGGTGACAAGAAGACAGCCACAAGGTAGTACTTCCAGGACCTCCTAAGACAAGACCACTACCACTCATTCATGGCTAGATGGTTGAGGGAACAAATGGACATTGTCCTTGAGCACCTTCCTCTCAGTGAGGTTGTCTGGTTGTCTGTTATGATTACTCGGAAGGCTACAGATGCCACCAGCAGGATGAGCTACAGTCAGAGTACTTTGATGTGAATGTTTCTTTGCACAGCACCATCCTTTATCACCAAGCAGTAGAATCCATTGATGGCACGACAAGCACAGAAAATGATCCACATATTGTCAGGGAGCACCTTTTTGTGATCTCATTAGGATGATACCCGGGACTACCACTCAGTGCACAAAGCTCAGGAATTGATAGTAGGATATCTTCCAAATCAGTTGCAGATGAAAACAAGACGCTGTGGGAGCGCATATTTGGGCGTGGTCGTACTACAGGTATTGCTTGAGAAATTTACACTTGGGCGGACCTCTGAGAAAACAAAAACGTTCCGAAAAAAATTAATTTTTTTTTTGCGATGCTGGTTGTTTGAACCATGTTTTATATTATTATTTTTTACAGCTTTTGGGGACAATTTGAGGAAAGACAACACCAGCCCCAGACCCACGTGATTCACATGGGCCATCAACTGTTTCATCTGCTAAACGAACCAGCCTACGACATCCGAACCGTTCACATCCGTACTGAAGATGTGAAGGAGCTTGTAACCACCTAAGCCGAAGAAGAATATCAGAAAAGCTTCAAAACCAATGTGTTCGTGGCGGTCTTCACCACAGCCCATGCTCGATTAAACCTCTATGAAGCCCTGGAGACCTAGCAGGAACGTGTGCTGTATTATGATAGACTATGTGGTCTATCGCTGGCGCCCAGGTCAGTTGGAGATCCCTTGGGCAACTTCCTTGGCCAGTTTACAGATGAGACAGACGAAAGTCCAGTCATAAAGTTCGCAAGCAGTGGAGCAAAGAATTATGGCTAACTGACCCGTGGTGGAAAGACCGAATGTAAGGTGAGTGGGTTTTTCCTCAACTTCAAGACCAAGCAGACACTCAACTACAGTTCCATGAGGGATAATCCCCTGCTGCTCACGTTCACCCACTTTTTATTCCAAGGACAGACAAAACTTTCCAAAAGCAACTACCAAAACACACGACAAGAAGGCCATTGCTTCATTTCCCTTTTTCTCTGTCCTGAATTCTAAAATGAGCATGATAACCATGGACACAGCGGCTTGCCATGACATTGCCATTGTTACTGTTGTTAAGGACAATGCCTTTGTTTAGAATACCCAACACCGAACATGTTTCAAAACGTCATTTTCTTACTCGCTTAGGTCAAATGTAAATGTACTGCCGACAGTAAATGCCACAAAACCAAAAATTTTTGGGATAATTTCTCGATATGGCTTCAGTCATGCCAGATCCTCCAACCAGGCAGTTACTTAGACATGACTACCGCTTTGGGCCTAACGCCAGACAGCTCTTCCTTTAAGCTCCATATAAACTTCTGTTGTCTTATAGCTAAGAACTTTATCTGGATATGCAGATCAAAAGAATGTTTCCCAATTCACAACAATTTCTTGTTTTATCTGAGACATATATACCAATTAGAAAATAAGACACTGCGCAATGCAAAAAATGGAAACCTTTCTTTTCCTCGCTGGGTCTTGTCTCCTAACTCCAAAGACATAAATTAGTAATATGTGCACCTACCATGAATATTTATATTACTTTCACCACAAAGAAAGCAAAAATAAAAAATAAAAAAATGTAAAAATTAATTATAGATCATACTAAGTACAGAAATATATGGAATTAGCACTGATGTAACGTATTTTAATATTTGTAAGTATATTGCCATGTAAGTGTGTAAATTCGCTATTTGTTTTTTGTTGTTGTTGTGTTGTGTTTTTTTTGTTTTTTCTTTTTATTACTTTATTTATTCTCTGTAATTTTTTTTTCTTTTCTGTGTGTGTTTTACTTGCAGTAAAAAAAAAAAAATGTACCCCCGACAGAGTGGTTTGCGGTGACATTGGGATTGTGACTGACACTATAAAAGCATCATTTTTTCAGCCCTGTGATCAATCTTAATCACCTGCTGGTTAGTTCATCAACACTTTATTCCAACAAGCTCCAAACCTTTCTTGGAGCAACCACCATAGCATGCAAAACTTGAGCATGTTGCATGGTTTGGCAATAGCATAATTTTTCTATTACCTTAAAAAGTCCTCATATATCAGGAGTTTACTCAATGTCTGTATTTTATTTCTCTTCCATCACATAGGTAACGTTACAGCTAACCAAACATAGCATAATATACATGTAGATGTCAGCTGTAAACTGAATTTAACAAGAACTCTTTTTTCCAAAATCCCTATTGACATCATTTACTGAAGATTGTGTATATGTCTGTATTTGTATCTGATTTTGTTCCATGCAAACATTATCCAAAAGCATCATTTTCTTTTTCCTTGATATCAATCTCAAATTCCCTGCAGCTCGTGTTCATCCACCTTTTATTCCAATGACAGACAAAACTTTCCAAAAGCAAATACCAAACCACACAACAAGAAGCCCATTGATTCATTTCCCTTTTTCTCTGTCCTGAATTCTAGAGGAGCATGATAACTGCTAACAGATTGGCTTCCCATGACATTGCCATTGTTACTGTTGCTAAGGACTATGCCTGCATTGGTACGTTTAGAATAACCAACACTTAACATGATTAAAAAGGGCATTATCTTTCTCGCTGAGATCAAATACAAATGAACTGCTAACAAAGTGGTTTGCGGTGATATTGGGATTGTGACTGATGCTCTAAAAGTGTCATTTCCTTAATCTCTGAGAACTCTTAATCACCTGCCTGTTAGTTCATCAACAATTTATTCCAACAAGCTCCAAACTTGGAGTTTCCCAACGTCGCATACAATTCTCCTGTTAGGTGAATTTAACATGGTGGACAAGCCTTTCCAAAAGCAATGACCAAGGCATCCAAAACTTGAGTGTTTTGCTTGGTTTGGCAATATCATAATTTGCCTATTACCTTAAAAAACCCTTCCTATAACAGGTGTTGACTCAAGATTGCGTATAATAGCTCTGTCTTTATTTTAAGGAGGAACTGTGGCCATGGAGAAATGTTGGAGCGAAATCTTGCAAACTGTGGCACAAACCCAGAGTTTGTTTCGTGCAGCGGGATGAGGCAGAAAGGGAACTTGACGGAGTTTGTAGTAATTGTAAACAAGTGAGACAAAAGCTAAAAATTGTTCAGGCCAAGAGGAAAGACCTGGTTGACAGTGCCAAAGCGAGGCGCCAAGAGGCTTCATCAAAGGTAATTTGAATTTTCAGTTTTATTTCCAATTCGTGTTTTTGAGATATTGAAAAAATTCCTTTACTTTACTTGAACTACCATGAAATACATTGTAGCGCATCTCAAGCAAGTCCTTCGAAGTAATGTACCCGTATAAACCATCTTCTAAATAAATTTTGCTGGCGTATTTATTTATTTTAAACATTTACTGTTTTGTTTTAGTTTCATAAGTTCTCATACATTTAACTACAGCACCGTTGTTTTCAACGTTAATGTTTGCCGGCTTTCATAACCAGTTTCCTCTCAAACTATGATTTGAAGAAAAATGTTTTATTTTCACTTTCAATCACTCTTAACTGGTTCATTATTTTAAAAAGACAAACATGGGTCAGTCAAATCCTCTTATATGGTTCATAGTTGGATTTATAATGGAAAACCTACTTTTTAGCCCCATACACACAAAACAATCATGCATTAAGTGTTGGAGGGAGAAAAAAATATCAGGGATGCATGTACCCAAGGTTTATGCTTGAGGGTAGTTAATCAGAATTGCCTCCAAGGTGAGAGTAGTATTCCTGGGCAATGGGGGGATCAAAGGATGCCGCCGCCTGTCAATCAAAGCGGTCATCAAAAATTCTATTTAACAATTATTCGCCGAAGGCGAAGTTAATATTGTTGAATAATCCCCTCGACTTCGTCTCGGGGATTATTTAACAATATTAACTTCGCCTAAGGTGAATAATTGTTTTAGTATATTCACACGAAGTGATCTCAACAGAATCAGAAAGGAAACCATTAAAAAACGATTAGTTTGATTGACGGGTGAAAATTCATGCGTGAACACGAAGCCATAAACAGTGGATGCGCAAAAGTTAGATCTTTACAGTATCTTCAAACATGGAAAATGATAGTTTTAATCCTTTTGTATCGAGTTTTGTAAGCTTTAGCATCAACGGTTTAAAAGAAAACGCCGAAAATTTAAATTACTACCCAATTCTGAGAAGAAAAGTGTCTAGAGCTTTATTTGTTTCTGTCAACTCACCGTGAATGAGAAAGTTTTCTTCGTCGCTTCTTAAAAATGCTGTCAACAGCGGCTGCGATCAAGGTGAGTGTTGTTTATCTCCAAAGTTCTTTGCCTTGTTAACTTGCTGGCACGTACAATTTTCGAAAATATTTGCCTTCCTCTCTTCTCCATAAATTAACCTCTATTTATAGGCAAAATTGGTCTTGCACGAAAATCCCGAAATCACAAAACAGTGACAAAGCGACCTCGTTTTCCTCTGTAGTGGTAAACATAGCTTCGAGCGTACAAAAAGTCAGCTACAGTAAACCACTTCACAATAAATCACGCTGTTTAAACACCATGAAGTCTTTCTTGCCTTCAAAGTCATCAGCACTTGGATATTCGTGTATTTTCAAAAAGGTTTTACTTTGAAACTTTGGCAAAACACCCAGTCCACGACAGCAATTTTGTTCGGCTTTATATTCACCGCCTAGCGCGGTGAATATAACGTCATAGTCCGAGATAGCTAACCAGTCAGATTGCTTGAATTACCAAGATCACTGGGTGTGTATATTCTAATATCAAATAATGTATTCATTAGTATTCGGGTCATACTCGGGTAGTAGTTGTTATTCCATATGAGCATCATCGGAATTTGTATAGGTGGTTGAAGGGTTGAGCTTAGACATGTGGGACAGAATTTCTGTCCCCTGCGCATGACGCATGCGTAGTGCACTACGCATGCGCAGTAGCGCATGTTGTGTAAAATCGTTCTGAAACGTTTTGTAAAATGTGCAAGAGGATTGTAGAGTTAAAATAAAGTGTTTTGAACATCAACGGGGGTATAGCTCAATCGGTAGAGCGCTCGCTTTGCAAGCGAGAGGTTCAGAGATCAAAACTGTGCTTCCAAAAAGAAAAAATTTTTTATTGACTCAATCAAGGATCGAACCTGAAGTCTTCTGATGTAGTGTCAGACGTGTTACCATTACACCACTGAGCCGTGTATAGTGAGAACTTATTTGTTTCTAAGTTAGGAAGTATTTTATTAGAGTGTTTTAAGATATCGTTGACAGGTAGTGCATAAGTCATTAATGTCGCCAACCATATTATCATAGATCAAAGTCAACCAAATTCTGTCATCTAACTCTTTAAGGAAATGTAAAGAGATAGGTGTGGACAATGTTATTTGTATGTGGATAATGAAGCTTAGAGGGTTACGGTACGAGTACGTATGACTAGAAACATTATGTTGAGTTAACCAAATGGGTTAGTT